TTGGACGAATGGCTATTTTGCAAAATGGAACATAAATGATTGAAATGCCGCCAGAGAACACTGACTCGTGAGAGATAATTCCAGCTGGTACTGTGAAAGCCAAGATAAAAGCTGATTATGAATAAAGCAAGGAAAACCAAGTGAGACGTTTGCGTGAGCTGTATGAAGGAGGTCTCATAGGTAAGAGGAAGTACGCAAGCATCAGAAACAGTTGAGATGTTGTAAAAGAAACTGGAAAGAAAATGAAAAACCAGAAAACAGAATTTATGAAAGGATGTGAAGTTCCAAAAATTGTGCCTTACAAAACTCGTATGAGCTTTTGTCAGAGGCGTAGATATTGGTAAAATATAATCCTTGGAGGATTTGGCAGACAATTTCTCCCTGGAATCAACATCTGGTGTGTACAGGCCCATAAGGCCTTTTCTGCTGAGGCTTGCAGATATGTACTTGTCTGCATTGGTTCGATGACGAAAAAGGAGTTATGCATGTTGCCATTGGTGCGGATGGTGTTCCTTTTGAAAGGGATGATACAGCAACAGGTATTATTTTAACATGAATGTCAGTAGCACATGATGATAGGTTAAATTGCGAATCTTGACTTCATAACAGTCATAAAAGTATTAGTAGATGGTGTATAGTTAGAAGCGTAAATTGGTTGTAGAATCAAAACATTATGTTGACCCTTTAGATCTCATTAGTAATTCTCCTTACTGTCTGCCATACAGTTCTTGTGATATTAGTTTGGAGAAATTGGTATTGGTTCAACTTATAATCCCCTAACTGATATTTTTCTTTGTTCTCATCACTCTGCTGCTTGATATTGTATTGATATTGTAAGAAGAGATTCTCTTTTGATCACTCATGAGAGTTAAAAGGTTAATCATGAAATCACTTTTTGGAAACTTTATTGAGATATAATTCTGACTTATGACGAACACTTTTAATAAGTCCCTCATTTAATTTTTTGACTTAATGTGAATTTACAGCATACCTTGTCAGCTTTCTGAATCTACTGAACAAGGTGCAAAGTTGCAATGAAAACCACCTTTTTATGGGTGCTAATTCCGCCGAGGACACTACATCAATGAAATGCTATACCAAGCATTTAGTTAAAGAATTGGAGCTTATAGAAGGAGCTAAACTCACCACTGAACGAGGCCATATGGAGGAATTTAGATTCCAGTGGATCCCAGCTGCATGAAATGGTTGTTATCCATTTCAGGGGAACTTAATAACTGTGCAATTTACTTTTCCCCTTTTGCCAATGTGAACCAAACTGACAAAACCACTATTGGTGACTCAATTGGTGCCAGACCAGAAGCAACTAGTCAACCGTGGGATTACAAGAAGCGGATTCTTGTCGCAGAGAAAGTTACGAAGTTTAAGGTAAAACTTAGAGATCCTGAAGGAAAACAGAGCAGAGGTCACTAAGTTAATTGCCAAGGAGAAATCTAGGCAAGAATTTGTTCCCCCCTTGGGCAAATAAGTGGATTTAGCTAAGGCTGAGCCACTTCATAACACCAACAATGCCTGGCAGCAGTGGTTTCCCGCTCTCCTGACAATGGCCACGCAGTACACTGACCAAGCTAAACTCCTCACAGCAACAGTGGTTTCAGATCTTCCAAACTCTTCACCACTAGTAGCATTTGTAAAGTGTGTGCAGGAAACTATGAAGTGTGGAAGGCTGTGCAACAGCTTCAATTGGTGGTTCGGTGAAAAGAAAAAGAAGGCAATTTCTTTCTCTAATAGATTCACTGGACTGGAATCCATGGGATTTTCATGGAACTTTGGTTACCTCATCAAGGAACTCTTGCAGATAGAAAAATTGTCAAGAGGGTCTGCTTTAAAACTGCACTCACTTGTATTTAGTGGTTTGCAAATCAGGGATGCTGCTGCAATTTATTCCAGAGTTGAAGTAAGCAAATAGCAATTAGATAATGCAACTTAAAGTCAAATGTTGCAACTGGAAAAGTTATCACTGAGCTTTTTTTTTTTTTTTTTTATTTAAACACGGTCAATTCATCAGCCTAAAAAATATATACAGCTTCAGCAGTATTTGAAATAATATTGGTTTAATATATATGAAGAGATGCTGGATTATTATTTCTTAGAGCTGCAATTTGATTTTGATCATATAACATTTGTAGGGGTAGAATTTTCGAGGAAATAAATAAAGGCACAGCATGGGCTCTAGGTTCAGAAAAGTACATCAAACGAAGGGCTCGTTTTTGAAGCACGAGGATTTTTTTTAAATGGGTTTTGGCAGCTTGACCCCAAGCCGCCAAACCATATGTCAGATGAGGCAAGATCAATGATTGATAAATATTTAAAAGGGTTGTACGTGGGACGAAGTGCCTAAGACGGGCAACAACACCAACAGTTCTGCTTATTTTTAATGCAACATTATTTATTTGAAATTTCCAGCTTAGGTTGCTGTCCAATAGGACGCCAAGATATTTAACATGGTCTTCGCACTGAAGCGTGGTAGGAATTTGAGTACAGTTATCGATCATTTCAATGTTAATCGAGTAGTTCAACTTACGTTGATATGGACGAAAGATAACATAGTTTGACTTTTTAGCATTGAGCGTTAACTTATTTGCATTAAGCCAGTCAGAGACTTTGAGCAGTTCGCTATTGACGGTTTTTTCAAGAGATTTCAAATTAGAGTCAGCATACAACAAGCTCGTGTCATCAGCAAAGAGATAGAATGACAATTTCGCTGAAGAGTTGTGAATATCGTTAATATAGATTAAGAATAACAGAGGACCAAGCACAGACCCCTGTGGGACACCACATGAGATCATACATTCGGTACATTCGGTAGATAAGTTAAAACCCACTTCAGTTACTTGTGAACGACCGAGAAGGTACGAGGCAAACCAAGCATTGATAATTCCTCTGATGCCATAATGATTAAGTTTTTGAAGCAAGATTAAATGGTCGACGGTATCAAAGGCCTTTTTTAAGTCTAAAAAGATCCCGCAAGTGAAAAGTTTTTGGTCCATATTGTTTTGTATGACATTAACGATATCAATAATGGTATGTTGCGTGGAATGGTTTTCGCGGAAGCCATACTGTGACTTAAATAGAATATCGTTTTTACCAAGATAGGATTTCAGGCGGTGGTACATTAATTTTTCAAATATCCGATTGAAAATAGACAGTAATGATATCGGACGATAATTACCAGGCTCAGTCTCATCGTCATTTTTGTACACAGGAACAACTTTCGCTTTTTTTAGTTTGGATGGAAAGATGCCCTTTTGCACAGATATGTTTATGATGATGGAGAGAGGGCCCGAGATAACGCATCTTGCGTCAGTTAAAATACGAATCGGACAAGAGTAGAGACCGTAGGTTTTATTTTTAGGGATCAAAAGTATCTCACGCTCAATTTCCTCTGGCGTAACTGGATCAAAGAAGAAAGAGCTTGGATTATAATTGGGAGACAAGTATTCGGTAAAAAAGCGAGATGAACGAGGTACGCGTGAAGCTAGGTTTTTACCGACCGAAGAAAAGTAGTAATTGAAGATGTTAGAAATCTCAAGAGGATCATTAGTTAAGCTTTTATCATCAGGACGTTTAAGGGAAGAAATGACTTGTTTCGTCGTTAATTAGCCTATTTATTCCATTCCAGGTGTTTTTCATATTGTTTAAATTTTCGGCAAAGAACGCATGATAATAATTCTTTTTACTCAGTCGAGTAAGACTAGAAATTTTATTTCTGTATATTTTATAATTTACAAGATCACCCGATTGGAGGAGAGAATTTTTTATTTTGATGGATTTTCTAAGGCCACTAGTTATCCATGGTTTAGAGAACTGCTTAAGCTTGCGATTCGAAACAGTCTTTAAAGGAGCATGTTTGTCAACGAGTGCCAATAGTGTATTGTAAAAGTAAGAAAAAGCTGTATCGACATCAAACTGATCGCGAAAGTTAGTTTGGCTTACCAAAGCATCAGAGAGTTCAGAGTTGAACTTGCTCCTGGAATAACCAGAAAAGTCTCTGCGTTTTTGCTTTCCGCGTTTTGGCCGCTGAATAAAATTGTGAGAAATGCAGAATTGTGAATAGTGATCGCTTATGTCAGAGATAATATTCCCACTGGTAATTTCAACATCAACTTTGTTTGTTAGAATATTATCAATTAGGGTGGCTGAGTTATTGTAAACACGTGTTGGTTTGTCAATAGTTGGGATAAATGAAAAGCTTTGAAGAGAAAGTAAGAAGTCCTGAGCATAACAGGAAGTTTCGGCATGAAGGAGGTTTATGTTGAAGTCGCCCATAATATATATTGATTTATTTGAGGTAATTAGTCTTTCAAGTTTATCATCAAAATATTCTTGGAAACGTTTGGGAGAGTTATGTTGTCTATATATGATACCACAAATGATGTTACTTTTCTGTGGAAGTTGAATTTCGATCCAAAGTGACTGGAAGGTTTCATCAGATACTTTTTCAATGACAGTATATTTCATGGAATCATTAATATACAAGCCAACACCTCCAGAAGCTAGAGGTGTCGGCACATATTCGAAAACGTATCCAGGTATGCATGGATTAAAATCCATTTCTTTACCACTGATTATTTTAGTTTCTGAGACTCCTATAATGCTAAATTCGAAATTTAACTCGTCCAATAGATGAACTTGAAAGTTTTCAAGATTTCGCTTAAGACTCCTGATATTATTATGTAAAAGAGAGAAGCTCAAATCACTGACACGACTGGGAAGTTCACTTTTAAATTTGTAGAAACTATAGGGGGAGTAGTATCGACTATGGATACGATGATTATAGATACTATCACTCGGATTGGTGTCTTCAAGTGCGTTTAGCTTGAAAAGATTAAGGTCATAAATGCTAGAGAGTTTTTCTAGGTATTTTTTGGCCGGTAAATGAGAAGGTAAACAATTATTAAATTGACCATGAGCCAATTGATGGGTTGACTTGAGAGGCACTTTGTCGAGTTTCCATAACACTTGCTTTTGCAAGGCGTCTTACAAATTTACAGATGACCGGTTTCGGAGCGCCATTTTGCTGCCTCGAGGGGACGCGATGAGCAATGTCAATGTCCGACAGAAACACTTCTGCCCCCATCTCCTGGAATAATTTTACACACAGGGCGCTTGTTTCAGCTGCGGTTTCACTGCTTTTCTCTGGCAGGCCAATTATTTTTACATTAAATTGCTAGCTATATTCCTCAACCTCGTCAATGGCGTTGCCAACACGTGTGACTTCAGCGCTAAGCTTATTAAGACGACGGCTTAATGCCTTGAGTTGATCAACGACACCAGAATTAGACGCTGAGAGGTCGTCGTATTCGTCGCTCAGATATTGTAGACTACGAGACACGGTTTCATCATTCGAAGCATTATTAATGCTTTTACCAGACGTAGCAGCTGCTTCAGCACCAAAGGTAATGGCCGAGTCGACCCGAACCTTCTCTTTCAGCTGCGTTATTTCCTTCGAAAGGGCGTCGACCTTATCCTTTAAATCTTGTTTTTGTTGCTTTAGTGAAGTAACTAACTCTTTTGGCATTATTTCAGTTAAAATTAATAACAAAAAGACAGATAGAAGCGGGAGCTCAAAATGAAACGTCCATCTTGGCTCCTGACCGCTGACCGTCTTCAAAATGTGCAGCCAGCTAATTTACATATTTATTTTTTCCGACGCAAAGCTGGTCATGAATACAAAAATTACTTAAAACACAAAAGCTACCAACAAAACCAACTTGACAGGTAATACCAAAGGAAGTTATCCCAAGGGGGCGATGGTCTGGTACTCGTATCAAAAAATACATGCTATTAGAAGGTTCCCTTTCCCTTAACAATAGGTACTCAAATAGTTAAGCTAAGGTTGTTGTTTTTGCTTCGTGGTAGAGCAACGGATGGTGGCCTCCTTTCCATGTTTTCAGGGGGTGCATCGGGGATTCTATGGGCACCGTCCTGGCCTGGGCCGTCCTGTTGCAATGGTCGCCTCTCTTCATCATCTTGGTTGTTCCCCCTCTTTCTCCACCATAAAAAAAGCCCTGCAAGGACCACCAGTAGTACAATCACCCCAGCGGTTGGAGCCACAATTTCCACAATGTGCGCTGCACAAATTAAAGAGGAACCAGAAGATGTTATTTTTCAATTAATAAATATTTCTTGAACGTGAACATCATTAGAAGAGAAGGAGTTTTTGCGGAGCAATTGAGCGCCCTTCCATCAACTTTGATGATATTATTGATGTTGTACGAATTCTGTGGGAGCAACAAAGCATTATTTGGTGGTACTGAGTGTCAGGTCCATCACACCTATTTATTCTTTATTTTTTATTCTCGACTTTTCCTCCTAATCACCATTCCTGCGATAAGGAAAGTACTGTTTGACTTTCAGTTAACTTACAATGTTCCTCCGCTGCTAGGCTAAGGGAAGTCCTAGAAACACAAGCATTCTCACAACCGCACAAGTGATCCAGCTCAAATTTCTAGAGCACGAAAAGATACAAGGGGAAAATTTCAAGAGTCTCATCATGGTTTCAACAAGACTTGTGTTAGAAATGTTGACATCCAAAGAAAGTCGCTAAAGCCATGAACGAATTCCATGTAAATTTATGAAGCAGGATGCAAAAGGCAGATATATTTCAACCATCTTTTGCACAACTCTTAGTAGACTTTGTATGTCTTGAAAAACTCATAACAAAAGAATTAAGAGAAGTTTTTCCCGTGTTTTTCGCAAAGCTTTATCTTGGTTAGAGAATCTTTAATAATTCGTCTCACGATAAAGAGTAAATCAACTGTAGAGTTTCTTTCAAAAGAAAATCGCGATACTTCGACAGCAATACTGCTAATCTTTGACGTCTACTTTGGTCCAGTTGCACTGTGCATTGACAAGGGAGTAATATTTATGAGCGACTCGTACTCTTTCAATCCAATCGGCTGACGAGAACATTACATTTTATTTTTACTATTATTTTTTCATGTCAATCTGAATAGATAAATTGTGTAAAAAAGTCACTAACCCAGTAATCTTCATTGATTACTTTAAAGGTTGCATCCTTGATGTCTACTTTGGTCCGATCGCACTTCACATTGACAATGGACTTTAGACTCTGAAGATGCCTAAAAGAAGATAAATTAGGAAGTTAGTGTCTTCTAATAGAAAAAAATTCTGTTTTTTCTTTAGGCTTTGGTTTCTGATAAAAAAAAAGATATCCTATAGATCAAGCAGTACAGCTCTTCACAGCATTTTTCGAGAATGGTAGATTGTTCCTTCGTGCTGATTGTTAATTTTCTGCTTCCATGTGTTTCCCTGTGGTAAAATTCATTTGTTTTTCGAGTTAGCGTATGTGCCCACCACTAAATAAGAACCCGCACCTTAGTTAACTTGTATGTGCTCATAAGAACACTGGCCCAGAGTTTTACTTAATTTTTATTGCTAAGCCTAGTCATAATTAAGAGCGTACAAGTACACATACCGTCCCCCTGCTTTGTAGGTCAGTTGAATAAAATTGCTCACTTTGGTACATTTTGGCATTTTATTTCCAATTGATTGATAATTGTCAGGATTATCGTTGTTTGGAGTCCACCTACATATCTGAAAGATAATAGAAATAGTGCGACTGTTGCCACAGGGCCACCAACAAATTCAAAGTTACTCTGATGTTTAAGACCAGCCACACACAAGATTCCGGTATGCAAACACAAAATTATAAAGGGTGGTAACCGTGCTATTTTATTTAATCGCTTGCTATATTCGCAGTCTGTGCTCTCAAAAGATCACGGTTACCCAATTCATACCTGATACTACACAAAAAGATATCATAGATCTTATTCTAAGACGAAAATTATTTTGCTTTCCGAATAACTTTAACTTATTTCGGGGAAAACAACTTTTACAGCGACAGAAAACAAAGTATACTGGAAAAAATTAACTGCCCTACTTAATTGGCGAGTCTTTCCATTATCGAACTCAGGTGTTCTTTTAAGAGTTGTTGATCACCTGCATAATACGATGGCCATGCATCCCTAAGTTTTTACGTCTGTTGATAACAAGTAAGTCCTCTTGCGTGTTCCAATGCACAATGCTGAGTTGCTGTTCACAAATTAAGCTTAAATAGCCAGATTTCTCAAGTACAACAAAACCGCCAAAAACATCGAGCTTCGTTTCTATGACTGCAGAAATAATTAGACCATTACTTACTGCTGTTTCTTTATCCCGATCACATTCACCGGCTAAACTGATCCATCTGCATGGGTTGTACGCGTACGAATAGTATTGATCGTATTTTCCATGAGGTGTACCATTTGCGACGAAGCCTCTAAGGAAATGTCCATGAGAAAGCATTGGTTACGAAGTGATGATTGATCAAAGGAAAGCATGGCACCGAGTTACTCAATTGTAATTATAGTCTAATACAGTCGAACCTGTCTTAAGCGGTCAACCACGAGGAATGACGAGATGACCGCCTAATACAGATTCCACAGGATAGGAGCATTCTAAAAAGCAATTTAAGACGTCGTGTTTTGCCATAACTGACCACTTAAAGTGCAAAAACTAGCTCTAAAATACTACTCACATTGATTTTGGGATATAAGGATGGAAAAAGTTTTACTTAAGAGATTATTCTCAGTTTTATTTGAGTGGTTGCGCTTCGCGTGACCCTTCTCTACAGGTGGAGAACAATACAAACAGGCCGTTGGGACTTTGTAAAGGGTGATCACTGACTGCTTATAGAGGCGACCGCGTAATAGGTGCCGCAAAATACAAGTTCGACCATAGAATCATTATGGATTGTAGGGAACTACTAACAGATATACAGATACACCAACCAACGCTCTCAACTATAATCACAACTGATATTTTTGCAGACTCCCTACACTCTCCCTGCTGAAAGGATCGCCTTTCAAAAGTTTTTTTCGCGACCTTCTATCAAATTCTGTCAATGGTGTTCTTTACTTTTCTTCAGAGATCGAAAGTTCAATTTTATCAATTTCTTGTCTGCTCCATGTCAATCATCAGATTCACTAGTAAAAACGCAAGTGAAAAATACATATACATATGTCACGCTACGACTTGTGAGACTAAGCAGATTTATTCGAAAATATACTTTTGATTAACTTTTTAGCCTATATGCAATTACCATTTAGCGGTAAAAACGTTCTTCCGCTAAATTACCTAAGAAGACCGTTTTAATCGCATATGCTAAATATCATTCTGTTACGGCAAAAGCTTGCTTACAATAAGTGTGAGTGAGTGAGTCCACTGAACTCTGGAAAGAGCTTGTGAAACTGAGCTATGCTTCTTTTCCTCTGATATGAGGCGGAGAAGGAACATCGTGTGCCCTAAATTGAACACAGTAGTCTACGAAGAGTTACTATCGAAGTTCCACGAATTTCACCTTAAACTCTCTTTCTTGGAACCGCGCTCGAGTGGAAAACTCGGACACGGATGATAGCCCTTACTATGAATTAATCAACATCTTAAGATCACTTCATGGTAATGTCCTGTTTTTCGTTTGAGATTATCTTGTTTTGCTTACCTTATGAATGGGGCTAGATTAAAGATATTCCCATCTCTATCTTCCCAAGCGCAGGTCGTATTGGGTACAGGAAAACATTCTTGACTTCTGGTAGAAGAGCTCGCATCACACTTTTCGTATGGGACAAAAGTATGCAGAACTGTAGCGCACAACAAACTGATGAACAAACGCATCATTCCGCCGTAGATATCTGAAGAAGACAATTGAAGATGACGAAATCTCTTTCTAATCTAAGAATTTAGGGGGTTCCCCGTGACACATGATAAGCTCTAACAATTCAAAACAATAATACCGAAGGTATTCGTCGACTAACTGCAAAAATTTCGATATTTCAAGTAAAAAGTCATATCTTAGGAAAGCTTGAGATACCGATTATATTTCCTTTATATGTTGTTGTATGCTGTGAAAGCAAATAACCAATATTTTGGTAGGAATTAGCTATACAGTTCTGGCGCACCCTGAGCTTTCGCTTTCGGATTAATCGAGAAACGGTAAAAAAGCACTTCCTCAGACACACACGCTGGTATCCCTTGATTGCCTTTTCTTAAATTTCCAAAAGAAAAATTGCGTCAATCAAATAGTGTTTTTGTTGTCATCGTTGTAATTACGAAACTAGAGTGTGTTAAGTCAGCCCTTAATCGTTGCTCGTTAGGCGGAACACAAGAAACTTCGGTTACCTTCAAATACGATGTGGCTTAGCAAGCTGTACATCTGTTCGCCAGACTTTTGACATCCGTTAGACCGTTCGGTCAGTCTTGTCGGCCAGTTAGAAAATGCGATGATCGGCAAAGCTTTGTTATTCGATCAAAAATGATCTGCCAGGGGCAACACTTTTTCTCTGTTAGACTAGTCCCCAGTCATTTCTCATTAATATTTGGAAGGGTTAGGGAATTGGCGACTAGTGATAACCGCAACACAAAGGAAACCTTCCTCATCAACACTCTGATCCATAGAAGCTAATCAATAGTTACTTAGATCATACAGTAGCTGAAGTTCGCCATCCAAGAAGTCGTACTATTACACCACTGAAAAACAACTGCATAGAGTATATTGAGGGTGATTAAGAACCAAAATATTTTCCTCCAAAAACCCTTTTCCCTCGTTATTAGTCAATATGTTTCCAAAGTAGGAAAATGCTTTTATATTTGCCGCTGATCATTAAATTGATTGCCATTTTCTGACAAGCAATTAAATGACGAAGGACAAGGCCACCTTTAATTTAAAAAGCTTTTATTTTGTCTTATCTCGTGGATAGTCATCCATCTAAGTTAGAAAGTATTTTTCAATAATTTGAACCTTGTTCGTCCAATTTCCTTGTAAATACACATAGTAGGTATCAGAGTCAGTACCTTAGCAACTGCACACCTAAGCTTCGCCTAACCCAACAACAATCAATTTAACTGGTAACAAGTTGGAGTTAATTTTGAGTTAGGGGAGGGGTAGGTGCGAATTTGCTCAGATTATAATTAAACGCCTTTTTGTTTGAAATCATAAAATCAATGCTGAATGATTACTAGCAAACAGGTAACTATTCACCAGCTAATGCACAATAAATGGATATTCCGGGAAAATTTTCCTTCATCTCTGCTCTGAGTTGAACATGTCAAATGAACTACGGCCCGAAGATCAATATGTGCATATAATTCGTGTACCCACGGCAATGTTTATAGCACTATGCATGGCCAAAAGGTTTATACATATACAGGAAAATACACTAGCTAATGCACAATTGAAGAAATGTAAAATGGTTTCCGTGTTTACATAGCCTGATGTAACACGCGGGAAGTTGGGAGAACACGAGATAAGCGTAGGAAACCACGACGCGAAGTGGAGTGGTTTCCAGCTTTTCTTTTATAAAATAACTAATGAAAGAGGAACGAAAACCGTGTTTACATACGCTCGTGTAAAATGGTTTTATGGCCAATCAAAGCGCGTACTATTTGAATTATTTTATAAAAATGGATATTCCGGGAACACATTTCTTTATCTCAGCTCTGAGTTGAACATATAAGATGAACTACAGGCCTAAGATCAATATGTGCACACAATTCGTTTACCACGGCAGCGTTTATAGCACCAAGGCCAAAAGGGCTTTAAAATCGGTAAAACATAACATTATTTAACAATCCTAACTGCATGTTGCGATGCATACAGGTCGATTATAATATATGTTTCATATGAATGGCCTCGCACTCTCAAAACTCACTTTCGCCTGTTCCTCCAAGGCAAAATTACCTCAGCAAAGGAATGGTATAAATCGAGCCACATCAATCGCTTTGAACGAGAGAAGGAGCTAGATGCTTATCTTAATTAAACCAGCCATTTCAAACTTTGAAAGCAAATTCAATACATAGACTGATTTACATGTCCCAACGTCAACCGACCTCGAGTCAGTAACCTATCAAATTCAGAAGTAACTTTGTAAGGACTACAAAGTCATTTCATAGAAGTGTTGTGGAAAGTTAAAGGTTATAATAACAAAATGCAAGATAACTTTCGTGGATCAGCTCGAACTGAGAACTAACACCGGAAGCTAACAACCAATATAGCACACCTGAAAGGATCGTCTTTAGAGGAGTCGGGACACGATACTGATTGTCAAAATCACAATATTAGGAATGATGTCAGGTACTGTTTTGTACGTGACAAAGTCATTCCGCACAAATAATGCACAATACGAGCTTTCGGTGCTTCTTAACAAAGAAGATACTGTTGTAACAGGAGAATGTTCGTGTGTAGCTGGGTAAGTACATAAATTTTAGATGAAGTTCAAAAGCAAAATATCTCTCGTTTTGCAAGGGTCTCTGTGTATCTGCTACATATACATAAATAATTTACAAAACACTCTTGACGAGCATTTAATGTCATCATAATACTGTTTAAAGCTTGTAGTTTGCAACATTTCATTTCCATTAACACAGAGACATGCTTCTGATTAAAAAGATCTGTTTTTTTTTTTTCTGAGGCATATTTGAATCATTGGGAGGCCAAGAACAGACAATGCCTTTTTTTATATGAAGGCATTTCTTTAGCTGCAGCTGATATGAACATTTGCTGGTAGCCATAAAAGATACGCATAGTCATATGATTACAAATATATTGGACCATCTTAAAAACTCTAAGCATGTACTTTCTTTTCAAAGGTTTTTTTATTATTTTTTCCTCAGCTTAGCTGGAGTGTGTAAACATGTGGGGGCACTTTTGTACCATATTTCTTCAGAAGTTAGAGAGGGAAACAACAAAACATGCACATCAAAACCTCAGGCCTAGGGGAAGACCTTCAGCTTTAGCTAAAAAACGTTACTCTGCCAGCAGATTGTCAAACATCCAAATAAAGAAAGACAGGGTGCACAAAGGTAACTCCCTTGTCCCTTGGCAGACATGCACTGTTACGAGATCTGGATATGATCCTCGTGCTGTAGACGACAGACAGCCTATGGCCTTGGACCAGGATGACTTGAAATACCTAGCAGCTTTAACAAATGGTAGATGTGGTATCCTTCTTAATTCCGACTATCCCTAGAGCCAGTCAGAACCTGATATAAATGACATAGCTGGCGAAGAAACTGTACAAGCAATTGATGAGCCTTTGCCAATTTCAGATCAAACTGCCATGATACACGCACAGTGGCTAAATAGTTCAGTAGAGGTGAAAATAAGAAATTTCTTCAGACAGCATTCATCTGGACGCCAGTATTGGCAAAGTAGCGAATTTGTTAGAAGGCCCACTGTTTGCCCACTCGTCTTAGTCTTCCACTCTGATCTCTCGGAAACCGGCCATCACAGAAATCAATACATGTCAATGTATAGGTCACGCAAGCCTATTAGTGAAGCGGTTTCCAGCTTTTGTGAAATTTCATGAAGGTTTACTAGTTTATTTTGCTAGGAGCAATTAATTCTCGTCATAAAATTTTGAAAGACGGCTCTTCACACTTCCCTCTCGCTGTCGAACCCAGGAAATCTGGACGAAACCATACTTGCGTGCGGAAAAACTGATACTTTTACACAAAAATGATTATTTGTTTTTCACGCTCATCCGTCATTTTCAATAGTAGCAAAGTCAGTATGCCTCTGACTCCTTATGACGGCTGGCGCAAGCGACACTTAACAAAATATTTCTCAAACATTTTTCTGGATTCCACAAAGAATCTTGGATCTCAAAAGTATTTCTATTTTTGAGGTGATTAACAACCTCTCATGGTTATGGTTTTACGACATGGTCGGATATTTGGCCCCGCACATTATTGTACGTGTTCCGGGAAGCAAACAACCATTCCTAAAATATAAGTATCGAGCTCGAAGAGCAGATAAATCTCTGGTACAAATAATTATCTGTCTGTTTAATGACCTTGAGAGGAGGTTCTATGCCACTCTAGCATATAAACGGCCAATATTAGCTGGCACATAAAGTGTTGAACAGTTATTCTTATTTTTAGAATAACAATGTGACTGGTCAAACGCTCTAAATATTAAATAATGCCTGTTTGCAGCTAAAAGATCACGGACGAAAGATACAACATTGTTACGGGCGTTGACAAGGTCAATGTTTCAATTTTTTTCGCCGAATAAAGCAACCAATAAATATCGTTTTTGAGGATGGTATCTTATAGGGTCCTTAAGATACTGGGTACTCCGATGGTTTACCTACTGAGGTTGTCGTTTTTGCTTCGTGGTGGAGCAACGATTCCTGACCTCGTTTTCGAGTTTGAGCCATAGAATACATTCCAGAGTATATGGAGACCGTCCTGACCTGAGTCGTCTTGGTGCAGTGGTTGCCCCTCATAATTTTCTTGGGGGTTGTTGTTGTTCCTTCTCCTGTTCCCCCTCTTTTTCCACCATAAAAAAAGCCCTGCCCCGACCACCAGTGCAATCACCCCAGCGGTTGGAACCACAATTTCCACAATAATGTACGCTGCACAAATTAAAAAAAACAGAAGACGTTATTTTTCAATAATAAAATATTTCTTGAACTTAAATATCATCGGAGAAGAAGGAGCTTTAGCGAAGCAATAGAGCGCCCATCCATCAACTTCGCCCATCCATCAACTTCGCCCATCCATCAACTTCGATTATAACATAGCTAGTAAATTTGTCTAATCAAATTCAACTGCGCGAGCGTGCTAAATATTCTTATTGTGCACGCTCATGACGTCAGCAAACAAATCCCTCGAGAGAAAAAAAATTTCCATCGGGCTTAAAATATTATAAAACTAGTGGTTCATACGTCAGCTGTGCGTTCATCAAGATATGAAGCACGCGGGAATTTTGGAGAGCACTCAAGAAGCTAGAGTTGCTCTCGGCTACTCCTCGAGCAACTCTTACGTATTTTTCGTGCTCTCCAAACGTATGAACCAATTGTTAATGATATTATTGATATTGTATGATTTTTGTGAGGGCAACAAGACATTATTTGGTGATTCTGTAAATTGAGTGCTTGGTCTATCACATCTATTTATTCTTTATTTTGTATTATAAACTTTTCTTCCTAATCGCTATTCCTGTGATAACGAAGGTACCTTTTTGACTTTCTTTCAACTTAAGATATTCCTTCGCTGCTGTTCCACAACCGCACAAGTGATCCAGCTCAAATACCTAAAGCACGATAAAGGAGATACAAGAGGAAGTTTTCATGAGCTTCATCATGGTTTCAACATATGACAATCCCTTATAATCAATTTTCTTACGTAACAAGACTCGTGTTAGGAATGATGAAATCCAAGTCGCAAAAGGCTGAACAGGTTCCATGGAATTTTAAAAGCAAGTCTGATGGACTATTTAATAGAATGCAGATATATTTCAACCATCTTGTGCACAGCACTTCGTAGACTTCGTATGTTTGGAAAAATTCATCATAAAAGAATTGAATTTTTCTCGCGCTTTTCGTAAAGCTTCTTCTTGGATTTAGTGATTAATGAATCTTTAATAATTCGTTTCACGATAAAGAGTAAATCAACTGTAGAGTTTCTTTCAAAAGAAAATCGTGTTATTTCGACAGCCATACTGCTAGTCTTTGACATCTACTTTGGTTCAATCGCACTCTGCATCGACAAGGGAGGAATATTTATAAGCGACTCGTACTCTTTCAACCCAATCGGCTGACGACAAAATTACATTTTATTTTTACAATTATTTTCTCATGTCAATCTGAATAGATAAATTGTGTAAAAAAGTCACTAACCCAGTCACTTTCGTTGATTACTTTAAAGGTTGCATCTTTGATGTCTGCTTTGGTCCGATTGCACTTCACTTTAACAATGGGTTTTAGAGGATACCTAAAGAAGATAAAATAGGAAGTTAGTGTCTTTCAAAAAAGACAAATTCTGTGTTTTTTATATCCCATAGATCAAGCAGTACAGTTCTCCACGTCATTTTTTGTAAATGGTACATTGTTCCTTCCCGCTGATTGTTAATTTTCTGCTTCTATGTATTTCTCAGAGGTAAAATTCATATGTTCTTCAAAGCTTAAAAAAGAGTTGTGTTGAAGTTAGCCTATGTGCCAACCACGAAATAGGCACCGCGCACCTAAGTGAACTTATATGCGCACATAATACTAACTTTTAAACGCTGAGCCTCGTCATAAGAACGCGCAAGTACACATACCTTCCCCCTGCGTTGTAGATTAGTCGAATACCATTGCTCACTTTGGTACATTTTGGCATTTTATTTCCAATTGATCGATAATTGTCAGGATTATCGTTGTATGGAGTCCACTGACATATCTGAAAAGATAATAGAAATAGCACTACTGTTGCCACAGGACCACCAACAAATCTCAGAGTTACTCTGATGTATAAGACCAGCCACACGCAAGATTCCGGTATGCAAACACAAAATTATAAAGGGTATAGTAACCCTGCTATTTTAAATAATCGCTTGCTATATTCGTGTCCAGTCTGTGCTCTCAAAATATCATTTCTGTGACTGAAGAAATAATTAGACCATTACTTACTGCTGTTTCTTTATCCCGATCACAGTCACCAGCTAAACTGATCCATCTGCATGGATTATAGGCGTACGAATAGTATTGGTGATATTTTCCATCAGGTTTACCATTTACAACGAAGCCTCTAAGGAAATGTCCATAAAAGCATTGGTTATGAAGTGATGATTGATTAAAAGGACGCATAGCACCGAGTTACTCAATTGTAATTATAATCTAATACAGGCGAGCCTGCCTTAAACGGTCATCCACTAGGAATGACGTGGTGACCACATAATAGAGGGTCTTAATGGGGTTAACCGTTAGCCGTAAAACGGCCAAAAAATTTAGCCGTTAGGCGTAAAAATTGACAAATTTTAACCGTTAGTCGTAAAAAAAGTTTACCGCAAACAATATGTCTGGTGGAAACAATGGAAAGGTGTTAACCGTTAGCCGTAAATTGGCCAAAATTTTAACCGTTAGCCGTAAAAGCATCATCCCATTGAGACCCATATAATACAGATTCCTCAGGATGGTGGCATTCTAAAAAGCGATTTAAGACGTCATGTTTTGCCATAATTGACCGCTTAATTTGCAAAAATACCACTTACATTGCTTTCGGGAGATAAGAATCGATTAAGTTTCACTTGAAAGATTACTCTTAGTTTTATCTAAGTTGTTGCGCTTCACGTGACCGTTCTACACAGGTGGAGAACAATACAAACAGGCTGTTGGGACTTAGTAAAGGTTGACTGCTGACTGCTTATAGAGGTGACCGCTTAATAGGTGCCGCTAAATACAGGTTCGACCACAGAATCATTATGGAGTGTGGGGAACTACCAAGAGATACAAAAACCAACACACATAAGTATAATCAAAACTGATATTTTTGCAGACTCCTCACATCTTCCCTGCTGAAAAGATCGCTTTTCAAAAGGTTTTTTCCGCAGCATTCTATCACATTCTGTCCATGATGTGGTTTCACTTTTCTTCAAAGATCAAAAGTTCAATTATCTCAATTTCTTGTCTGCTCCATATGTCAGTCATGAGATTCGCTTGGGTTATTTAATAAAAACGCAAGGAAAAAATATATACATGTTATTCGCCAGCCGGGAGGTCCGTATTGGGAAAAACTGTGCCCGAGATCGTAAGTACCGCCCGAGGTCGTTTGCCAAGGGCGGTACTCAAGACAGAGGACACAGTTATTCCCAACACGGACTGTCTTAGGCTGGTGAATAACATTTTTGTTTTTTCCCTTAAACTTCACGGAATCCTTTCCAAACGAACCCGAATGATTCAGGGCTGTAATTACTGCAAGATCTTCTATAAACTGAGCAATTATTGAGCGAGTGAATAGAGGTGATGTAAATTAAAGAGAGAGGCTTCACTGAAACATTTTCATTTGCGTATTGATAAAGGTGATTTAAGAGACTTCCAATCAAACTTTGAAACATTATTTTTACAAGTATCTGTCACAATCTGATATTTGTCGATTAGAGAGCGCGTAAGAAAAAAAAAAGCGCATGTACACGGAACTCGTTTGGCAAGGACTGTCACTACAATGTTTTCTTCGAAAATATTCAGTGATCTTTCGGAAAGTATTATTCACTCTCATCGACGATTCATTCATGTGCGAAGATTTACCTCTACTCATAAAGTAAACTGCGAGGAAAGTAATCGTAAGTATATTTAATTTTTTATTTATTTTGAAGTTGCAATGGTTTGCTCGTTTGTTTGCAGCAATGGCGTGTGTAAATCTGGTCTTTCCTCCACAAAAACTAAATTCGAATGAAGGGGATTTAATGCGGCTTTTTATTTTCAGTTCTGTTGTGCAATTAACGGTACAACTGTCCAAACTGAAAGGACTTGGAAAGACTCACTAAAAGGGTATTTTTAGTAGAACTGAAGACTTCGCTCGCCCTTTCACTACGAACAAATTGTTTGAGTGAAATCAGATATTAAATGAATGAAAGTTCTACTGATTCATTCAACTTTTTAGGGACTTTTTGTGAAGGAAAGTAATTAATTACAGACAGTCTGTAGGCCGCTTGTCAACCAATTTAATAACACTTTTGCTCATAACAATTCATTTTGAAATCAATATTTTTCTGTCAACCAAAGTGATTTGAGAGAGAGAAAAGAGAGGATTAATAACTAATTTATCGGCTTGAAGTAGTGACCGACGTGTTTGCTTAAAAGTACTTACCAGCCGGAAAAACGAGAAACATTTGTGAATAATGGCAACGAAGGTAGGGATGTACTCGGCAACTTACGAAAGCGTTACCGTGCCCGTGGGCAGAAATATATATCTAAATACGGACCGCGCAAAGAACCAATCAGATTGCAGGATCATTGCCGCGCCCTCTGACAAAAAAATTAATCTATGTCACGCTATGTCGCGCTATGTCACGCTAGACTTGTGAGACTGAGCAGATTTAATAATAATAATAATAATAATGTGTATTTCTTATATTGCGCAGTCTAGCATGCGATAAAGATATGATCGAGTGCGCATTACAACACTAAAATCTTAAAGTAATAAATGGCTAGTCCAAAAAATGATAATAATAATAATAATTTACCATTTTCGGAAAACAATAAAAGTAGAATATGAGTTAATAAAAGAACTAATAAAAAGCTAATTTAAAAAGATGTGTCTTTAGTAAAACTTTAAAAATGTTCAATGATTGACATTGTCTAATTTCTAAAGGGAGTCGATTCCATACTTTGGGCGCAGCATTTTCAAACGCCCTATCCCCGAGTGTCTTTTTTGTTCTATAGGTATTGTCCATTAGGAGTATGCCCCGGTATGATCTCAACTGATACCGCGAGCTCTCTTTGATTTTTATCAAGTCTGAAAGATATTGTGGTGCGACGCCGTAGATACATTTGTGAACTAGCATTGCTATCTTGAATTCTATTCTGTGGGTAACCGGAAGCCAGTGCAGGTTGATCAGGGATGGTGTGATAGGATCATACCTAGATATAGTACATACCAGCCGAGCACCCGCGTTCTGCAGGCGTTGCAGCTTACCAAGATGACCAGCGGGCGTACCATATAATAGACCGTTACAATAGTCTAATCGTGACATTATAATAGCCTGTACAATGGACTTCCTATTATCATATGATAAATACTTTCTAATACGCCGGATGTTATGTAGATGGTAATAAATATTCTGACATATGCTGTTAATATGTGTGGTCATATTCATGTTTGCATCAAACCAAGCACCCAGGTTTCTAACATACCGCATCCCTCAGGACCAGGATTAAGTTTGAAGACCAGATCGCCAATTAGCACTTGATGGAATGAGGCACATGAATTTGCATAGTAGGCTATTGGACACCTGTGCCTACGTAGGCGTAACCGACATGAGAAATCAAGCATATTCAAAATTCCCAGGAACTCGGGTGGAACTTAGTAGCTGATCCATGGACGTCGGAAGAATGTAATACAAGCAGAGCCGTTAGACAGATTGGTGAGAACAACACCATTAGAGAGATCACTGTTCCATGAAGAGTGAAACAATACTTCGACTCCAGCCAATAACGTGGCATTGTTCCTTATGCAAATAGGGCTCTCAGTCCAACAGTTCACTGAAGACGAGAAACAACCAAATATCCTAATATTCCAGCCAGTGAAATGCGTAAGCAACTCCAAACCCGGCCAGTAGAAAGTGTGAGGTCTTACACATATACCCTCGTGGTCGTATTTCAGAGGGAAGGCAGCAGTAAGTATTAAAAAGACCACAAACACGTTGGTGGTTTTTGAGTGCCTGCACCTCATTTGCATGTCTGTATATAACGTCCGATTACGTCCGATTGGAGTCTAGCTTCCTCTTGAAGGGCGGTTAGATTTAGGACCTTTCTCGGATTTCTCGGATTTATTCGGAAATATATTTTTGGTTAGCTGTTTAGCTTACATGCAGTTAAAAGTAGTAGTTAAAACGTTCCGCTGCCAAATTTCCGAAGAAGACTGATTTGGTCATATATGTTAAATGTCATTCTATTACGACAAAAGCTTGGTTGAAATAAGTAGTTAATAATGCCACTGAACTCTGAGAAGAGGTTGTGAAACGGAGCTATGCTTTCTCCTCTGACATGGGGCGGAAGAGAAACATCGTGTGCCCTAAATTGAACACAGTAGTCTACAAAGAGTTAATATCGAAATCGCATGAATTTCACTTTTACCTCTCTTGCTTCGAACAAAGCTCGAGTGGGAAACGTGGCCACGGATGACATTATAGCCCATGAATTAATCAACATCCTAAGATCATTTTACGGATATATTCTGTTTTCCTTAAAGTTTATCTTGTTTTGCTTACCTTTCGATCCTTTCGGTACTCGAATATATCAATGGCGCTAGATTAACGATCTTCCCATCTCCAACTTCCCAAGCGCAGTTCATATGGTGTACAGGGAAGCATTCTTGACTAGTGGCAGAAGAGCTGGCATCACACTTCTCGTATTGGACAAAGGTATGCAGAACTGTAGCGCACAACATACTGATGAAAAAACGCATCTTTTCTCCGTGGGTATCTGAGGAAGACGATGTCAGAAGACGAAGTATTTTCGCAAACAAAGAATGTGGGGGTTTTCCCGTGAATATGTTGGGGATTCCCCCATGATAACGCCTCTAATTAAAAACAATTAATATATATGAGTATGAGAAGGAGACACAAGCCTGTCGATTGGAGAGTTTTATCTTGATGTAACACCAAATTCTCTCTTCTATAAAGTTATAAAGAATAAGATAACGTTTAAGCAAATAAATTTTTATGCACAATTCTCGAAAAATTTCGCTTTGTGCACGCAGAAGATGACTTCGTTTCGAAAGCTTCATTTCCGGGAAAAAAAAAAGGCAGCACTGAAGATCTTGTCTGACATCTGCTAATAATACATAGACCTAAACTTGGCCGATTGTAACACACCTCGCACGAAAACATAATCCAAGATTCCATCTCCACTGCTTTCGCCTTCTATTGGATGCACAACGGAAAGATAGATTCTCGGAAAGCGCATTTCGTCTAACTTCCTATTTACTTTGTACGGCGATCGATTATAAACCATGCACACTAGGAGTTCAGTGTGGGGAATTTAGCCTGACGATTTAAAAGTGATTAGAATTTAATGCTTTTTTTTTAATCATTGAATAAACGCTGAAGGAATACAAGCAAACAGATAACAGTACACAAGAAATGCACGGTAATAGTGCCTACCTTTGATGACTGAGGACTTGTTCTCGATACTGCCGCAAAACAGAGGTGATTGAGGCTTGCAGAGGGAGCTTTCAGTTACAGATCATTTAGTAAACAATTTTTTACCATTCGTCTGAGTCCTTTAGTCTGATTTCTCGGAAACCGGCCATCACAGAACCGCGTACATGCCATTTTAATCAGGATCAAATTAACGCATACAAGCGGTCAAAGTAGCTTCCCTTTGGGTCACGATAAGTAAATAGGCCCAAGCAAGGCCCGGTACCACAGCTGGCGAACCCTTCAAATGCGGCTTTGGAGAGGCTTTGGATACCATTATGCCTCCTAAACGCGATTTTAGGTCGAAAAAGTTTCAATGTAGTTACTTTTAAAGGAGGAAAAGCTATAGGAAAGTCGAAGTTTGGTGTTCCAGTTCGATATGCCGCCCAGCAATCAATTGATACAACGCCTGTGGCCACCGGATCTTCTCTAAACATATGCAGAGGTTTTTCTCCAGACCAAGAAGACCTTCCCCATATTGACGAATCTCATGGTTTGAAAAACAACAAAAGATCTAAAGGTATAAAAGTACGACTGAAGTGCAAGTTAAAAGCTTACCATGAGAGGAAAGCCACGCTGGCTTCGTCTTGGCTCAATGCGAGAGAGCCGCTCGTCTCAGCGGCACTGTTGACCAGACAGGCTTTGCCTTTGGGGCAGATGTGTGTCATTCCTTTTTGCGAAGAAGAGGCGTGCGGCAGATGCCTTAACTGCAGTCCAGGGCAATTCCTATGCGAAAACCATATCAATTCAGTTAATGCAGGAGGTAGATCTCTGCACCACCGGGAAGTTTGGAAGGTAAGTTGAAGATTAATGGAACACAGTCTCCTTCAATCACCTCAACAATTATGTTGTGAAACCCGATTTCGTGTGGTTTGATTGCAGAGACATCCTTCTTTTTTTTCTTACAACTGTATATATCTCCTCTACACAATTACTTCACTTCATGAAGTTTCTTCTCAACTCCAATATACATTATGTCAGTAAAACCTGCCCCACTTTTATACAGAGGAAAAAGTGAAACCAGTGAGCATAATTTCTTCTTGCAAACATACATGTAATTTGCTCTATACTCAGAACAAAGTAAAGTTTATTTTTGGCAATTTTGAAAGAGTTGGCTGATTTAAGGGGTGTGTGATTTGTAGTCACCTGATTCACATAGGATATTATATACTCTTAGGATGGAACTGATTCATGAATGCCATATCAATTTGGTGAGTGTGTATGGACTACACCTCACAACATGGATCATGGATATGTGCATGACTTTATAGCTGTTGGTTTTTGCATGGTAAGTAACTAACAGCAGTGCAATTTGTAACTATATTGTGAGATAGGTTGCCAATCTGCAATTACCAGTACCACTTTTTACCTATACTTACACTTAAATAGTTTGGTTACCTCTTCCAGGAAGGTTTTTGTTTCTGTTTTAATTGGTTTTAAGGTGCTGATTATTTTAGATTTAAAAGTGGTAGAACAAGCACATTACTGAGGATAACTGATACCTTAACTGTAAATTTTCCATGACTGACTCCTGGTTATTCTATCACAGATAAGGGCTTGTACATTGCAGAAGTGGTATTTTTGAGGTGTTTTTCATTTTCATGAGAGGAATAATGACCACTTTCAACATAAACAGGAATCAGTAAACAATATTATTATTATTATTATTATTATTATTAGAGAAGAATATAAGTATGGACACACTACTGTATGGTGTCTGTCTTTGTACAGGGCAGCAGCATCTATTAAAATCAAATGTTGCGAGTATGAACCAGAAGCCATAACACTGATCAGGAACAGTTTCTGGCTATCTTCTCCAAAACAACCCCAGGTAGCCTTTGACCTTGGATTTATGGCCCTGTTCCAATACATTTTCTTAGAATGTAGAGTGTCTTTATTAAAGTCAATATGTCAGGCATTGCAATGGCTGGTTCCTCCTGCTTCCAAGGTTTACGTAAGTATTCATTCAATAAATTTTTATCTTATACTCACGAATGCAATTTTTTCTTAATTTATGCAATAAATAAATTATTTGATTTCCTTTAGATTAAGGACATCTACTGGCTCTTTGTTGGAGATTGTTTCGAGGAGTTCCTGTATGTCCAGCATTTTGAGTAACCTGAAGCAATTCAATCCTTCTTATGAGAATGATGATGAATGTCCTGCATGTCCTAAGGTTTGTGATAAGTCATCCTGCCGATGAAATTCCTAGGTGAGTAATATCTACCTTTGGAAATCTAGAACAACTATCATTATATATGTTGGCATAATGAATGATATAATTTCAACCATAAACATCATTCTGAATCTTTATGAGTCTCTCTTTTTCCTAGTGGTCCTCTATAGTGTGGCACCTGGTCTTAGCATGAGTTATTTCATTATTTTTCACTCATTTAGGCTTAAGAAATATTTCTAACATGACAATTTTAATAAGATATTGGCATCTGATTGTAGGAGAAGGGAAGTTTATTTATCTCCATTGATGCATTGTTTGGATGTGTCCAGAAATGCAGTGCTGGAACTAATGGAAAGTCCTCAAATCATGGAGAGGAACTGTTCATTAACCAAGAAAAAGTGGATGCATTTCCAGCTAATTACAGCAAAAGACCAAGCGGCAAGTCAACAGTGTGTAAACCGAATGACTTTTTCTCTTACTTTGTGTGTTGTTGCTTTACTCTAACCTTTTGTTACCCATCAGTACTCATACCACTAGTCAACCATTGCAATGAGAGACCAAAAGTAACAGTCATGTTTGTTGCTGGTAATAATGATGTCAGTGTTGTATTATTTAAATATAGTACAGTTTGAAGGGTCAATTACTGAAACTGTATAGATTGTCATTTAAGATACATAATTAATCATCATTTTACACTCAATGTACCAGTAATATAAATGTAACAATAAGAAAACTGAGAAATTAATGCTGATCAATTAAATTAATGTCTAACAGAAAATTCAATACAAAATACTTGTTTGCTGTTATGGCACAATTTAAGAATTTACAAATGAAACCAAATCATAAGGTCAGTAAATTTATCAATTATATCATTTCAAATACTCATCACTCCAATCTTACTTTATATAGTTTAGTTAATTGGACACAATCATTTGTAAACCACAAAGTTCACAACACAAAATGTGATAAATATCATAGTAATTATGTAATAATGATGATGATAATGACTATAATTATTATTAGCTGACCTTTTTCATGATGTTGCCAATAATTGGCAAATTATCTTCTTGGCTTGTTTATCAGCTGAAAGTAGTGACACAGCTGACCCTGAATCTGTTGCCACCTTTTTATAGTCATCTCTATCTGACTTAGACAAGTTCCTCCACTTTTCTCAGATGGTGCGAAAGACCTTCCACCAGTTTGTTCTGTGGAATAAAAGGAGGTGATGCATTTTTTAATTTTAAAGATAGGATGTAAACCACAAATTTAGCTAGATCAAGAATGACTACCTTTGTAGAGGAACTCCCTTGAGAAAGCATTAAAGCCACTTTCTTTCTAGTTTCTTTTAAGTCCTCTTGACTGTCCATCAAGCACTCTGGAACCACTACTACACATCACATTGTGGTTGTTTATCCAGTACAGACCAGGAAAAAAGTAATGTTTCACACTAAAAGAAAAAACAAAGGAAATTAAAATTCTAACTGGTGTAGCAATTTGACATACAAGAAAACTTTGAGGTAGCTGTCACTGACAACACACTTGCAGTCAAAACTACTGTAGGGCTGACACTCAAAAAGTCACCTTTGAAACTCTTTACAATGGCCAATTCATATTATCAACTCAGTTAATAAAACAGAATCTTCTTGTTATATTTCCCCACAAATGCAGCACCACAGTTTCTTTAGAAATTTGCTCCCTTTATTCAATTGGAAAAACATATTTTTCAGTTAATTTATCACATTAACATGACTCATAACAATTGGATGACAGTACAGTAGCTAAAAAGGCTAATTGTAAAAGAGGAAAATTGTTGTAATATGTTTTAATTTGCAAAGTCTGAGAGTAGAGTTCTGTGCATGCAATCCCATAAATTAAAGTTCTGAGCTTCTTCAAGATCTCTTTAATAGTATTTCTTTCTGTATCTATATTGTGTGGTACAAATACCACATCAATTTTGTTTACCTCAAAATATTAAAAAACTTTAAATCCTCCCCTCATATTCAACAGTAATACTGGTTATTATTAGAACTAGAGGAAAGGGCCATTTTGTATCTTTTTTCAGGCACTTTTGTTCCACAAAAGGGCACTTCTGTAACGTGACAGGCACTTTTGTAACTGTGCAGGGCACTTTGGTAACTTTGGAGGGCACTTTGGAAACTTTTAGGGCACTTTTGTAACTATGGAAGTTTATGAATATTATTTAATTCCTGAACTACTTAAACCCTTAAAAAATTTGTTAAAGCAACCACTTCAGTAGCTTTTAAGAAAATGGGAACTGGACGACCTCCGAGCTGATCGAGTTAGGGGATCAGAAAGGTAGTACTTCAAACGTTCTACGTGGACAGGAAACGATCTTTCACCAAAAATGTAGATCGTTTTGTTAAGGGTTGAAGATTGTGGCAGACAATCTTTCTGATAACAAATAGTAATTACTCATGATTTGGAAAGATTTATGCTCAAAAAATTGTTGATACGGTATCTGATTCTCAAAACCAACATTGAAAATACCGTAATTTATTTCATACATACTTGGGCGAACGACTGAAAATACATCGTTCGTCCACTCGTAGACATGAACGATAGTACCTCACAGTGGAGGGCAACAAGCGTGCGGCTATCAGTAAGAAAAAATCTCAGTAAGTATGAAATAAAAACATTACACCATGGAAAATGCTTGAACGATTTTTATTCGCGAGTTGCTAATTTATGCATAAAAACTCACTCGTTCGTTTTTTGATACCTACATTAGCAACTCGTGAATAAAAATCGTTCGATGCCAATTGTATCCCTCAGCGGTGCGTTCTCCTTTCCTTCATTGCTTTACGAGTACGTTTTGACAACTACCCGTCGTGCATACGTCATCCACGTGCACCAACAAGCAAGGACGCGGAGAATGGGTCAGAGTTACAACAGATTGCAGAACAAGTAATCCTTAGCCACTTCTGTCCTCCATATGTGAGGGATACTTTTGTACTTTGTAAGTTCTAAGTGCGCTTTCCAGTTAACGTTTGATTGTTTTCTTAGGTCTCAGCGTACTCTGTAGTTTACGTTTGATTGTTTTGTTAGTTCTAAGCGCGCTCTGTAAATTACGTTTGATTATTCTGTTAGGTCTAAGCGCGCTCTGTAGTTTATATTTGACTGTCTTGTTAGGTCAAATCGCGTTCTATAGTTTACGTTTGATTGTCTTGTTAGGTGTAAGTGCGCTGCTCTGTAGTTTACGTTTGATTGTCTTGTTAGGTCTAAGCGGCATCTGTAGTTTACGTTTGATTGTTTTCTCAGTTCTAAGCGCGCTCTGTAGTTTACGTTTGATTGTTTTGTTAGGCCTAAGCGTGCTCTGTAGTTTACGTTCGATTGTCTTGTTAGCTCCAAGTGCGTTCTGTAAATTAAGTTTGATTGTTTTGTTACTAAGCGCGCTCTGTAATTTATACTTCATTATTTTGTTACTAAGTGCGCTCTGTAATTTATGTTTCATTATTTTGTTAGGTCTAAGCGCGCTCTGTAGTTTATGTTTGATTGTTTTCTTAGTTCTAAGCGTGCTCTGTAGTTTATGCTTGATTGTTTTCTTAGGTCTAAGCGCGCTCCGTTGTTTACGTTTGATTGTTTTGTTAGGCCTAAGTGCGCTCTGTAGTGAACGTTCGATTGTTTTGCTAGTTTTAAGCGCGCTTTGTCGTTAGCGCATAATTCTTCTGTTAGTTCAAAGCGCGCTCCGTTGTTTACGTCTGTTTGTTTTGTTAGATCTAAGCGCGCTCTGTAGTTTAAGTTTGATTGTTTTGTTAGGTCTCAGCGTACTCTGTAGTTTACGTTTGATTGTTTTGTTAGTACTAAGCGCGCTCTGTAAATTACGTTTGAATATTTTGTTAGGTCTAGGCACGCTCTATAGTTTATATTTGACTGTCTTGTTAGGTCAAATCGCGTTCTATAGTTTACGTTTGATTGTCTTGTTAGGTCTAAGTGCACTCTGTAGTTTACGTTTGATTGTCTTGTTAGGTCTGAGCGCACTCTGTAGTTTATGTTTGATTGTTTTCTCAGTTCTAAGCGCGCTCTGTAGTTTACGTTTGATTGTTTTCTCAGTTCTAAGCGCGCTCTGTAGTTCTAAGCGCGTTCTGTAAATTACGTTTGATTGTTTTGTTACTAAGCGCGCTCTGTAATTTATGTTTCATTATCTTGTTACTAAGCGCGCTCTGTAATTTATGTTTCATTATTTTGTTAGGTCTAAGCGCGCTCTGTAATTTACGTTTGATTGTTTTCTTAGTTCTAAGTTAAGCGCGCCCTGTAGTTTATGTTTGATTGTTTTCTTAGGTCTCAGCGTACTCTGTAGTTTACGTTTGATTTTTTTGTTAGTTTTAAGCGCTCTGTAAATTGTAAGTTCTAAGTGCGCTTTCCAGTTAACGTCTGATTGTTTTGTTAGGTCTCAGCGTACTCTGTAGTTTACGTTTGATTGTTATCCTAGTCCTAAGCGCGCTCTGTAAATTACGTTTGATTATTTTGTTAGGTCTAAGCGATCTCTGTAGTTAACGTTTGATTTTTTTTTGTTAGTTCTAAGCGCGCTCTGTTGTTTTTATTTGATTTTTATGTTAGTTCTAAGCGCGCCCTGTAGTTTACGTTTAATTGTTTAATTAGTTCTAAGCGCGCTTTTTAGTTTATGTTTGATTGATTTGTTAGTTCTAAGCACACTCTGTAGTTTACGTTTGATTGTTTCGTTATGTCTAAGGGCGCTCCGTAGTTTACGTTTGATTGCTTTGTCAGTTTTAGGCGCGCTCTATAGTTTAAGTTTGATTGTCTTGCTAGGCCTAAGCTTGAATAGAAACAACGAATTTTTTATTCTTTCATGATCACTATTGCTTTATGGAAGCTAGAAAACGCAACTAACTAACCCAAATCTCAGTTCTTAGCGCGCTCTGTAGTTTACGTTTGGTTGTCTTGTTAGATCTAACAGGTCTTGTTAGGACGTTTTGAATTGCATTTCCAATCTATCTTTATTTTTCTTTCTTAGTGAAGCAGAACTTGCCTTGCCTTAAAAGTCAATTGGTTAAATAAAAAACTTCACAAAACTTTTTATAACATCAGGTTTATAAAGAACTGTTTAACTGAAAAGACGTCAACGCTATTTCAAGATTTGCCTTGTGAAAGAGAAAACATGCATCCTTCTCAATTAGATACAGCGATTCTAAGCATTTTATTTAATAAGTGACTTCAACACGATGTGTGCGGTGTAATGTAATGGTGTGCTGTGGCCTACTGATTTTTTTCGTTTTTTTCTTTTCTTTCCTTTGTTGCTGGATGAAAAAATCCGGTCTTGAAGAACATACGCAGTTCTTGCGAATGCCGATTTTGCGCTTTTTTTAGGAAAATAGTAGTATTGCATACATATTTTTTGTTGCTATGCCCTGAGATTTTCGAAGATGGAAGCTGTCATTTAGGTCTTGTTCTTCAACAAAGCATTTGATGTTTCATTAATAAAAGTGTGCTTCTCTCACTGACGGAACATCTTGCTAAACAGGCACTTCCGTAACTTTGCATTCTTCATGTACCAACCCCTACATGAAAGCTATTTTTTAATATAAAGATTTAACTAAAAGCTGCAAAATTTCAGAATCATAAACTAAAATAGTATACCTACCTTTGGCTTCAATGTAATAAAATTTGACCCAGTAAAAAGGACAA